AGGAGGCGAGGAGGAAGAGCAGGGAGAAAGAGGAGGACGAGGAAGGGGTGTCGTTTTCGGCCGCCTCGGGCCGCCTGGGGGTGAGGAGCGCCCAAAAGCTTTTGGAACCACGACCACGAAACTCGACGAATAACCGAAGCGCATTCAGCCTTCAACCTCCTCGTCCGTTGTTTGGCCGTTGCCCCGGGCGAAGCTAGAAGCTAAGCGCGCGCGTAGCGCGCGCGTGGTTCTAGTGTATATATATATATATATAAGTGTGTGTATTTTTTATACATATATATACATATATATATATATATATATATATGTGTGTGTATATATATATATATATATATTCGGCGACGCGGGCGAACGTTGGCGCGGGTGTCGTTTCCGGCGGGCCGCGCCAGGCGCCAATCTCAGGGACGAGGAGGAGGAGGCGGAGGAGGAAGAGGATGAAGGGAAGAGAGAGGGTGGGGAGGAGGGGGAAGAGGAGGAGGAGGAGGAGGAGGAGGAGGAGGAGGAGGAGGAGGAGGAGGATAATAATAATAATAATAGTAATAGTAATAATAATAATACTAATAATAATAATAATAATAAGACGAGGGCGGCCGCCGAGGAGGAAAAGGGAGAGAGCCTGGCCGCCGAGAGTCAAGGGGGGAAGGGGGAGCGCTTGAAGACAACGTCACAAAACGGGTCTGCCGCAGCAGCCCCTCCACGGTGATCCGAGCGGACGGCCTTCCCGCCTGGGCGCGCACGCAGTGCGCATGAGGCTGGAACGGGGGACCGCGGAGCGCGCGAGTACTGGCTGCCGGGCAGGACAGCCGAGTCTCGACGCATCGCCTGTCGCACCTGCTCACCTACGGGATCTGCGAGGGGGCGGGGTCGCAGACTGGAACTTGCAGGGGGGGGGGGAAGAAAGGGAGAGAGGGAGGGAGGGGCAGGAGCAGGAGGAGGAGGGGGTAGCAGGAGGAAGGAGGAGGAGGAGGAGGAGGAGGAGGAGGAGGAGGTGGAGGAGGAGGAGGAGGAGGAGGAGGAGGAAGAGAACGAGAGGGAGGGAGAGGATGGGGAGGAGGGAGAGGAGGAGGATGAGGAGGAGGAGGAGGAGGAGGAGGAGGAGGAAGGAGGAGGAGGAGGGAGTTGCAGGGGAAAAATGTCAGCGCCGCTGCAGAACCCTGCTCTGGACAAGCCCGGGTGGTGACCGGAGGAGGGTGGGCCAGTCGCGACAACCAGCTGCCCTCCCCAGCGTTCTCCACCGCGTCTTCGGGGCCTCCCAGAGGCCCCTCGTCGCCACGGCCAGAGCCGCCTCGGGAAGCTATGACTTCGGATGGAGCGCGTTGTCCGCCCCCATCTTCTCCATCAAACAACCAGGCTCTGGATAAGGACCACCTGCAGCCACGCGCAGAGGGGGGTGGAGGGAGGAGGGAGGGCTTCTTAGAAGCACCCCTGCTTCTTAGAAGGCGCGGGCCTTATCTATTGATGTAAGACCGGCGCCTTCTAAGAAGCAGCCTCCTTCCAAGAAGCCTTCCCCCCTCCCTCCACTCCGCTGTGCGCGTCGCCAGCACCTTCCAAAGGTCCACGCGGATTCCTCGGATTGGACCTCCCCCTCCCTGGCGCGTGGGGCGCCCAGGGGGCGGCGCTGGTGGCGCCGCCAGGGGGCGCAGCGCCGATCCAAGCATCCCGCGCAGACCTTCGAAAGTTCATGCCTGCAGTCGGTTTTGATTTGGGGAGCACACGCGGGCCACGCCTTGCCCAGGCGGACCTCCGAACGTTTCTGTGGATCCAGTTCGTGTCCCCCCAACAGGGAGCAGCAGGGGCGTGGATGTCCAGTGCGGGATCCTGGAGGTCCACCACAGCCCTCGGATGCCTTCAGCCTCCCATTCCACCGGACGTGCGTGCGGCGGCGGTGGCGGTGCTCGGCATGGGGGGCAACGGGTTGTCAGGGAAACGGGTCCTGAGATTTTTTCCCAGCCCTCCTGCGTTGGGGTACTCGTTTTGCATAGAGCACTGCGGTCGAGCACCTTCTCTCGCCTCTCTCTTCCTCTTATCCCTCCTACTTGGCTGCTACCATGTCCTGCGATTTGCAAAACTGTTGACACTTTCGAGGGCTGCTGGGGGGTTCAGCGGAGTGAGGCAGCACCCAGACTCAGATTAGACCTCTCCATCCCTGGGGGCCTGCGATCTGCGGAATGGTCGCCACTTTCGAGGGCTGCTGGGGGGTTCCAGCGGAGTGAGGCAGCACCCAGACTCAGATTAGACCTCGCCATCCCTGGGGGGCTGCGATCTGCGAAACTGTCGCCAAGTTCGAGGGCTGCTGGGGGGTTCAGCGGAGTGAGGCAGCACCCAGACTCAGATTAGACCTCGCCATCCCTGGGGGCTGTGATTTGCGATGTCGTCACCACTTTCGAGGCTTGCTGGAGGGTCCAGTGGATTGCGGTACCACCAAGACTCAGATCAGACCTCGCCAGCCCTGGGGGTCTGCGATCTGCGAAACTGTTACCCCTTTCGAGGGCTGCTGGGGGTTCAGCGGAGTGAGGCAGCACCCAGACTCAGATTAGACCTCTCCATCCCTGGGACTGCGATTTGCGATGTTGTCACCACTTTCGAGGCTTGCTGGGGGGTCCAGTGGATTGAGGTACCACCAAGACTCAGATTAGACCTCGCCATCCCTGGGGGTCTGCGATCTGCGAAACTGCTGCCACTTTCGAGGGCTGCTGGGGGGTTCAGCGGAGTGAGGCAGCACCCAGACTCAGATTAGACCTCGCCATCCCTGGGGGGCTGCGATGTGCGAAACTGTCGCCACTTTCGAGGGCTGCTGAAGGTTCCAGCGGGGCGCTGTTGCGGGCCGCCCGCAGACCTGGCGGCGCGCTTTCGAGCGTTTAGCTCCCGCACTGAAACGTGCAGGAAGGAAACATGAACGCTAGCGGGCGAGCTAAGCCTCGTTCGCTTCTTGCACTAACATTAACTAGGTTGAATCATTTTGTCGAGCGCCGCGGCGTCATGGCGCAGGCATCGTTGCATGTGTAGCGTACTACTGACAAAAGCAACATTATTCGGTCTCCTCCCGTCACTTTCGTCGTCGTTCTGTGCCCCATGCCACCTTCCCTCCGCTGCTGCCGCGCTGATGGGTCGGCCCCCCACGCGTCCTTTTCCGGCCCTTCGTTCCCGCCCCCATGTCGTTCTCAAGCCTGGACCCTCGCCCCTCCTCCTTCTGTTGTTGTCCTGTGAATCGTGCCGCGTGAGCGCATCCCATGTAGCTTGCACAACATATAACGGCGCCTGCACTGTCATTGTCCTGGCAAGTTTGGGCAAACTCCTCCTGTCACTTGATGCAGCTAAGTTGGGTAAGTCACATGGTAAGTCTCCGTTTTCGGGTCCTCAGGGCCCTCCACGGGCCCCAGCGGCTCAGGATGAAAAGTTCGTCTTGGGGGAAGGCCTTGGGGTCCAGGACCCGTTTCCCACAGGACCCGCTTCCCCCATGTTAAGGTTTTCGGGCGGTTCTCTATGGCCCAGGCTGCGGCCGAAAGACAGGCATGCGCTTAGTCTTTCGGACGAAACTTCGCGACTGCCGCGTGGTAGTCGTCGCCACGAAGCGAAGAGGTCATGAGGAAAACGGGTCCTGAAGGTGTTTAGCCGTTCTGGGGTTCCCGTGAACCTCCACGGGCCCGCGGACCGCGGAGAAACGATTGGGGATCAAGAGTTGGTCCTGAGGGAAGGCCCTGGGGTCCACGACCCGTTTCGCGCAGGCCCTTTTGCCATCATGCCGAAGTCGCACCGTAGCGTTGTAACAGCACGTGTGCGCCTAGTTCTGAAAAGTGGGTACGCGTCACCTAGTGCATAGTGCACAGTACGCGATGCGTGGTTGCTGAGGGCGTGGCATGCGGCACGCAGTGCGCAGTGCTGTTGGAGTTCGTGCTGAAAGTGGTGGCGAGGGTGGCCTTGGCAGTTGGGGGCAGTAGTGGGATTGAACACGGCAGCAGCAATTTCATCGGCAGCGGAAGCGGCATTCGCAGTCGGTGGCACAGGTAGCGCTGGCGGTAGCAGTAGGGGCGGTGTGAGATGCAGTCGCAATTGCAGTGGCCGTGGTCATGGGTGTAATCTTTGGCTGCTTCGTCCTGCGTGCACTCTCTGCGACAGTGCCAGCACTCAAATCACATGCCAGCTCGAAAGATTTGGGCGGGGAGGATTGGCAGCTCCTGGGGTCAGTGGCCGAGGTGTTCGCATCTGGAGTGCCCGTGGTGCAGCTGAGGGGCCTGGCGGAAGGACGTGTTTCGATAACTTGTTCCCGCCCCCCGTCGCCTGAACCCGCCGCGTGGCCACCGCGGGCTCACCACGTGCCTCGGCGAGGGCGATTGTCCACGGAATAATTCTGAGATGTGCGCCGACGGTCTGGGTGCCGGCTGGCGCAGTTAAGGTTCCGTGCGGATCGGACCTTGTCTTTTCGCTTGCTGCCGCGCCTTCTCCTCTGATGGGCCTGTTTTCCACCACCACCACCATAAGTTGGAGGAGGGAAGGGGGGTGAGGAGAAGGAGGAGGACGAGGAGGAGGAGGAGGGGGAGGAGGAGGAGGAGGAGGAGGAGGAGGAGGAGGAGGACCCCCTCCCCCTCCAACTTATGGTGGTGGTGGTGGAAAACACGCCCATCATCCTCGTCATCCTCGGGTCCAGCGGCGGTCCTGCCAGGGCAGGGGCGGGGCGCAGCGCTCGAGGTGGTAGGCCCCAGTGTTGACGGTGGCCGTTCGCGTCGAGCTGCGGCGTCCCGTGCCGGGCGCCGCTCGTTCCATGGCGGGAGGTTGAGCGGCGCTCAGTCAGGAGGGGAAAAAGCACACAGGCACAATTAATCTGCGATTCCCAGAAAACATGGGAAAATATGGGAAATGGGGGGGAAGACAAAAACCCAGAAAATATGGGAAAATCTGGGGAATAATTTTATTTGTGTGTATTTATTTGTGTGTCCCAGTTTCCCTTCATTCAAGGGCGGCGTGCGTCACTGTAGTTGTGGCGCTGCTGGCGACGACGGGCGATGACGCTGTTCGCGGCGAGCCGCGGCCTCAAGCAGGGTCTCCCCAGTTGGTAAAGAGACGTATGGGGGCGTGGTGGATCGCGTGGAATGGTGACTGGGCTCAATTCGGGCCTGTCCCTCTACAGGAGGAGAATTCCGAACTAGTAAACAAGAGTTTAGGGACGATGATTGGATATCTTTGAAATTATTTCGAGGGTATTCTTAAGATTTCGTCCCAAATCCGGCTGCAGGGGGACATGCCCGACCTAAGACTGGACATGTGCTGACGCGTGGCGTGGAGCGACTTGATCGGGGGCGGGGGGCGGGGGCGGTAAGCGGCGTGCGAGGAGGGCTGGACGTGCCGCCGTCCAGAGCGGCACGGGGCAGTGCTGTTGGGCAGCTCGGAGAGGTGTGTCGAGGCCGGAGTTATGTTGAATGTGTTGGCAAGAGAGATATACAGGGGGATGGGTAGGATGAGGACGAGGACGAATAATAGCAAGAGACCAGGGCGCCCTATCTGGCTTTCGGGTCGTGTCTCGTTCCTGAACTGTGGGGCGGCGGGAGGCCATGATGCCATGATGACTCATCACAACTCCTGCTCCCGATTGCCTGCCTGCGCAAGTAGGTTTTTGATCAGCTTACTCAGTGTCTTATGCTGCGCCCTCAAGATGAGGCCATCTGTTTCTCCCAGTGGCTCCTCGCGCGCTGCTTTCTAGCCGGCTTTCATGGCGGTGGTTACATAATCGGGCCATTTTGCATGATGAACTTGTTGACCACATCTCTGGCCGAGTCGGCATTGGCCGAGTTTTCAGTGTTCGAGTAGGCCCTGAGCAATTATCGTGCTACTTGCCGCAGCAGGCTCGCACGCGCCAAGTTTGCCTCTCGACGCTTTCCGCCCTCCTCGCCAGCTCCACGTTGTATGGCTCAGCATGTTAGCAGTCCCTCCGCCGTGGTGTCTTTCCCGGGCCCTCGCTTCGCCCGTTCTGTGGCCCTCGTTCGGTCCCCACTCGCCCCTGTGCGATGCAGCACACGGGAGCTAGCGCTTGACTCTGACACACGGCCAAAACAAGAAGGATGTTAGCCCCCCCCCCCCCCCCCCCACAGCTGCGGTTGCAATCGCTTGAACAGCAGGTCGGCTTTCCAGATCAAGGATATCATCGGGCCACGTGGCCCTCGGGGATGCATTGTGCATTTTCGCGTGTCCTAAACCAAGCTCGACTCCAAGAGTAAGGGGTCGTCCCAGTTGCCTGCCGCATGGCGCCGCTGCTGTTTTTGGAGGCAGTGTGGGTGTTTCGGCCCGGCGCAGGCCCTGATTTGATTGAGAGTGTTTTCGTTGCTCTACCCTCTGGGCCATCACGTGCATTATGCTCCCTCCCCTCCCGCCCCCCCTCTCCGCCCCCCCATGCAACGCAACGCTCCCCCCCTCAGTGCGCCCCCGGCACTGCCGCAGTGCGTCTGGCACCACAGTCTGGGCGAGGGGGGCGCTGCGTCATGTCCGAGGAGGCTGATGAGGAGGGAGGAGGGGTTGACGTAACTCGGCGGTGAGCGAGGGGTGGAAGTGAGAAGGAGAAGGCCTTCTCAGAAGGCGGCAGGACTTCTCAGAAACCATCGCGCCTTCTGAGAGGCTTTTTGTCTCTTTGGGGAAGGCTTCGACAACTTAGAAGGCCGGGGCTCCCGTCCCCCCCCTACCTCCCCCCCTATGCAGCCCGTAATGGCCGCGAACAAAAAACGTGCGCTCGCTGAAGCAGTGCAGCGTGGTGCGCGGGGCGCGACGTGCTCCCTCGTGGCCCTGCAGGGGCGTGTTGGTGGCGGGAGGGGGTGCTTTTTGGGGGGAACGGTGGGCCTCCAAGGCCGTGTGGGGTCAGGGGTCGTCGCGGAGCGCGTTTCGGTGCCCCCACTGGGCGCCCTCTGGGCGCCTTTGGGGGCTGTCTGGGCCCGTCTTTTCCAAGAAGCGTCGTCGTCGCCGTCGTCGCCGTTGTCGCCAGCGTCGTCGTCGTCGTCGGCGTCGGCGTCGGCTTCTGGGGGTTGTCTGGGTCCGTCTTGTCCCTCTGGCCTCCATGGCGCCACCGAGATCCTTCGAGCTGTCCTGCGGCCTTCTTGGGCCGTTTTGGGGGCCCTCTGGGGCCATCTCTGAAGTCTCGATGTATTCTTTGCTTCTGGGCGGATGTTTTGAGCACTCTTGAGTCTGCCTTGAGTTAAGATGGGCCTGTCCCTCTACAGGAGGAAAATTCAAAAATAGGAATAGTCGGGGGACGATGTGTTCACCATTTTTGATTTTTACCTAACAGCGAAGACTGATAGGTTTCTAGTAGTCTTAAAAGAGAGCAGCAGATGACTCCACAGGGGGGTCTGGGCGGGTGCCGGACAGGGTGCCGCAGAAGTCGTTTTAAGCCAACAGTCACACACTTCGTGCTCTTCGACCTCCCAGAACTCCATTCCCGGGCCACATTCTGAATGCCCGGAGCCAACTGTAGGCCACTTCGTGCTCTTCGACTTCCCAGAACTCCATTCCCGGGCCACATTTTGGATGCCCGGAGCCAACTGTAGGCCACTTCGTGCTCTTCGACTTCCCAGAACTCCATTCCCGGGCCACATTTTGAATGCCCGGAGCCAACTGTAGGCCACTTCGTGCTCTTCGAGTTCCCAGAACTCCATTCCCGGGCCACATTTTGAATGCCCGGAGCCAACTGTAGGCCACTTCGTGCTCTTCGAGTTCCCAGAACTCCATTCCCGGGCCACATTTTGAATGCCCGAGCCAACTGTAGGCAACTTCGTGCTCTTCGACTTCCCAGAACTCCTTTCCTGGGCCACATTTTGAATGCTGAGGCAGGCTGATGCTGCGGTCGAGGCAGGCTGGGGCTGAGGCAGGCTGAGGCTGAGGCCGAGGCTGAAGGCAGACTGAGGCTGAGGCTGAAGCAGGCTGAGGCTGAGGCTGAGGCAGGCTGAGGCTGAGGCAGAGGCTGAGGCAGGCTATGCTGAGGCAGGCTGAGGCTGAGGCTGAGGCTGATGCAGGCTGAGGCTGAGCAGGCTGAGGCTGAGGCCGAGGCCGAGGCAGATTGAGGCTGAGGCTGAAGCAGGCTGAGGCTGAGGCAGGCTGAGGCTGAGGCTGAGGCAGCTGAGGTTGAGGCTGTGACTGCGACAGCGAAGTGCCGTTGCCGCTGCGACTGTCATCGCGAATGCGACTACGACTGCGAGAACAGCAGAATTCTACAACTGGATTTTCATTTGAATCTTAAGGGGAATGCTTTCAGATATGCTTCTACACATCGCTGTTAGGTTGCTTTGCCGGGATAATGTGTTTGATACTTTCTGTGCATGTTTGAATTATCTCTCCAAAATCCGCCTTTACAGGGGGACAGGCCCGACCCAAGTCTTGAGGGCCGAAGTGGCTGGGAAGCGAGCTGTGCCCCAGGAGTTTTTACCTAACAGCTTGTTCTGATAGGTTTCTAGTGGTGTCAAAAGAGAGCAGCAGATGACTCCACAGGGGGGTCTGGGCGGGTGCCGGACAGGGTGCCGCAGAAGTCGTTTTAAGCAAACAGTCACACACTTCGTGCTCTTCGACCTCCCAGAACTCCATTCCCGGGCCACATTCTGAATGCCCGGAGCCAACTGTAGGCCACTTCGTGCTCTTCGACCTCCCAGAACTCCGTTCCCGGGCCACATTCTGAATGCCCGGAGCCAACTGTAGGCCACTTCGTGCTCTTCGACTTCCCAGAATTCCATTCCCGGGCCACATTTTCAATGCCCGGAGCCAACGGTAGGCCATTTCGTGGTCTTCGAGTCACCAGAACTCCATTCCCGGAGCATTTTGAATGCCCGGAGCCAACTGTAGGCCACTTCGTGGTTTTCGAGTTCCCAGAACTCCATTCCCGGGCTACATTTTGAATGCCCGGAGCCAACTGTAGGCCACTTCGTGCTCTTCGAGTTCCCAGAACTCCATTCCCGGCCACATTTTGAATGCCCGGAGCCAACTGTAGGCCACTTCGTGGTCTTCGAGTCCCCAGAATTCCATTCCCGGGCCACATTTTGAATGCCTGGAGCCAACTGTAGGCCACTTCGTGCTCTTCGAGTTCCCAGAACTCCATTCCCGGGCCACATTTTGAATGCCCGGAGCCAACTGTAGGCCACTTCGTGCTCTTCGAGTTCCCAGAACTCCATTCCCGGGCCACATTTTGAATGCCCGTAGCCAACTGTAGGCAACTTCGTGCTCTTCGACTTCCCAGAACTCCCATTCCTGGGCCACATTTTCAGCAGGGGCAAGAGCACGACGAGGAGGAGGACGAGCAAGACCAGGAGGACGAGGACGAGCAGGAGCAGGACGAGGAGCAGGAGGAGCAGGAGAAGAAGGACGAGCAGGAGGAGGAGGAGGACGAGCAGGAGGAGGAGGACGACCAGGAGGAGGAGGACGACCAGGAAGGAGGAGGAGGAGGAGGAGGGGAGGGGGAGGACTGAGGAGGAGGAGGAGGAGGAGGAGGAGGAGGAGGAGGAGGAGGAGGGAGAGAGGAGGAGGAGGGGAGGGGGAGGACTACCAGGAGGAGGAGGAGGAGGAGGAGGAGGAGGAGGAGGAAGAGGAGGAGGAGGAGGAGGAGGAGGAGGAGGAGGACGAGGAGGAGGAGGAGGGGGGGGGAGAGCTGCCTTTTCGTCGAGATGCTGTTCGACCCAGAGATGCTCCTACACATGGCTGTTAGGTTGCTTTGCCGGGATAATTTTGTTAGATCAGTGATCCCAGCGTGGATCCCGAATTGTTCGGTCTCGTGTAACCAATCGCCATCCCCATCCCCATCCCATTCGAGACCCCTACCAAATTAGCCCCACAGTTGGGGATACACCCTTCGAAACCCGAAGGGGACGGCCTATATCCCCATCTAGGGGGGTAAATCGGCCAGTGGGGCCCAGGCCACGCCGCTGGGGAGTGGGACTGGTTAACCGATATTCAATTGCGATTCAGAGTTGACTGCCGTCCCGGGTGGCGCAGTGTGAAGCCATATGCGGCGCCGCGCTGTGCCACGCAGAGCCAGGCAGCGCAGGGCACTTCGGACGGCAGCGGGGCGACAGGGGGGCGACCGCGGGGGGGCAGCGGGGCGATCGCGCGCCGAAGATCGGGAAGCCGCAGCCGGGTCCTCAGCAGACAGGCTGAAGCCCCCTGAGCTGCGAGCATCTTCGTGGGGGCAAGTGCTGTGCGATCTTAGCCTGGTGGGTCCTCTCTTGCCACCGTCCCGTTCCTCCCTCCTCTTTCTGCCGTGGTCCCAGCGCCACTGCCCGCATGCACCGCGGGTCAGGTTAAGTTATATTCAGTCTGTGTTGCCTGAGCAGCGGCGAGACCCGCCCCTGCAATCCACGAGGGAAGAACGGACTGCACGAACACACGGCAGGTCCGTGCCGTGCCGACCCGCGGCAACCCCGCCGCCGGCAACCGTGGAACGCCGGCGGCGGCCCAGAATCGGTCGATAAGGGCGTTGCGTAATGGAGGGGTCATAAATGGGGGGATGTCGCGGGTGGTCCGAAAAGGTACCTAAACGTTACCTAAACGAGCCCCCTGGGGCTCCAGAGGGGCCCGAAAGGGGCACGAAAGGGGACCGTTTCTGACCCCCCCATGTATGACCCCCCCACTAAGCCACGCCCAAGTCGATGTTGAACGATCGGACGTTGCGGAAACGGCCGGTCATTCAAGATAGAAGAGGAAACATCGCGAGAAAGGCTTTCTTTTTGGCGCTCCGCGCGGATTTCTGGGATCTGCGCTGGACTCCCCTCCCCGGCGCGCGGTGCGCGCCGGGGGCGGCGCCGGAGGCGCCGCCAGGCGGGCCCGGCGGGGATCCAGGAAATCCGCGCGAAGCGCCAAACAGTGTACAGTCGAGGCTGACTAGTAGGTCGACCCTGCCAAATCAAGGGTGCCCTTGTGCCTTGCGTTTCGCGGCCCATGCCTTCCTACGTTCCTGTGGCACCGTGGCCCTCGGAAGTGTCTTGTGCCCTCTCCTGTGCCCTCTGAAGGCGATCCCTCCTCCTCCCCCCCCCCCTCCCTCCTCCGCCTCCCCCTCCTGTCCTTCCTCCTCCTCCGCCTCCTCCTCCTGACCCTCCCCCCTCCTCTCTGCCTCCTCCTCCTTTTCCCCCTCCTTCTCCTCCCCCTCCCCCTCCTCCTCCTCCTCCTCCTCTTCCTCCTCCTTCTCCTTTTCCTCCTCCTCCTCCCCCTCCTCCTCCTCTTCCGCCTCCTCCTCCTCCTCAATCGGCCCCGCCGATTTTTCTTCTTCTACACGGTGGAACGATGCCCAGCATGCCAGGAAAGGCCCGCGCCGCAGACGGCACGGCACGAGCCTGCCGCAATTAGTCTTCAGTCGGGCCTGCCCCTCTACAGTCGGGGGTAGACAGAACCCCCAACAGTGACACGTCGATTAGTGAATTGTCCGTTTTCGGTTCTCGAGAGGGCGCCGTGGCCGTTATTTTCCAGGCTTGCGCCCGCCAGGTTTGGGCCTTAGGTCGTTTTCACTAAACCACGTTTTACTAAAGGGGGGTCTGTCCATCCCCGATACAGGAGGAATACTCAAAACTGGTCAAGGAATAGCCCGGGGACGATTTCTCTATTATAATCGAGCATGTTTTGAATCTGTTTTTCTGGAGGTAGGAAAGGGGTGTGGCATAAAGGGGTATGGTGCCAATCGTGGAAATGGCGATGCTATCTGCGATCAATCACATCGCCAGAGTCCCCTTTACATGAAATTAGCACCACACCCCTTTATACCATACCCCTTTCCTACCTCCAGGGTTTTGGGTATTTGTCAATTTCCGTGCAGAGTTCGCCCGTAGGGGGACACGCCCGACCTGAGATTAGACTCTTCGGAGCTCCGCGCGGGCGTCACCGAGTCGGCGTTAGGGCCCCCTCTCGGCGTTGGGCCCCCTCGGCGGCCGCCCGCTGCGCGCGCGATGGCGCGCCGGGGAGGGGGGGGGGCCTCAGGGTTCAGTCGGGCACGTCCCTCTATCGGGGGAGCGTAAGACCCGGGTTTGCCAGGACTCGGGTTCGCCATTTTTTTTTTGACGACCGCGGCTCGGATTTTGACGAGTAGGAGTTTCGTGGGATGTCTGCAGCGGGAGGCCTCGTCAAAAGGCAGGCTCGGCCTCGTCATTTTTTTGACGACCTCGTCGGGGATTTCCGAGTCCCCCGTACCCGGGTCTTACGTCTCCCCGAAAGACTAGTCAACCGATAGCCTGGGGACGATTTCTCTAGTCCTTAACCATGTTGGACCATGTGTGGATTACTGTTGCATTTGTCTTGGCACATCCGCCTGCTCGAGGACATGCCCGACCTCACCTCACCGCCGAGAGCCGGGAGATCCGCGCGAAGGTTCGAAGGTTTATGTTTGTTCAGGTTGTGATTCCCCCACGTCCGAAGAAGAAAAACGGCATCAGCTTAAACGTTTAGCGCTCCGTGCGATTTTTTTGTTGGATCCGCGCTGGGGCTCCCCCCGCGGCGCTTGCGGCGCCGCCCCCGGCGCGCTCCGCGCGCCAGGGAGGGGGGGCCCAGCGCAGATCCAAGGAATCCGGGAACCTGGGCGGAGAGCCAACAGTTTGTGTTTATGCCGTTGTTTTTCTTCTATACGTTCTCCAGGATGCCGCAGCGGCTCTTTATTCTACAGGCGAGCAATATGATTAGATAGGGTAGCTCGGCCCTCCGATTTCCCTGCAGAGCTTGCGAGGGCGAGCCAGGGGCGACCGCGGGGGCCCCCGCGGGGACGCTCCGCACGGGTGCTCGCCGACATGATTGAGCCGTGCGCGCCAATGCTCGCTCCATCCTGGGGCGCCCTCGTCACGGCCATCAGCCCTGCAGTCACTCACCGAGCTCGTTCCCTTACTCGCAGAGTGCCCACTCGCAAGCGTCCGAACAACACATGTTTGCCTCGGTCTCTTGGATCGTAGATCCCCCGCGGTGGAGCCAGGCCATGTGCGAGTAGTTACTTTGCGAGTAGTGGAAGGCCTCTGTCTACATACGATCCTCTGAATTCATGGGGTGGAAATTGGGGGGGGCTTATGTGTATGTGTGTTGTCGGATTGGGGTGCCCGCTCGAATGGGGGCCCGATCAGGGTCCGACAGCCCGCACCCATGCTTGTCCAGCTGCCTGCGGCACGTCCCGCCGCCGTGCCAGCCAATTGTTCTGGGTGTCAACTGTTTGTTCGAGGGGGCACGGGAGGCCGTCACGTGTGAGACCTCGTGTCTTCAGACTTGGGAGAGCCGTGATGAGGATGATGAGGATATTAAGGATGAGACGCGGTGATGATGATGATGATGATGATGATGATGATGATGATGATGATGATGATGATGATGCTGATGCTGATGCTGATGCTGATGCTGATGAGATGATGATGATGATGATGATGATGATGATGATGATGATGATGATGATGATGATGATGATGATGATGATGATGATGAGAAAATGCGCCCGTGGGTCTTCCTGAATACACTAACGGGGGGGGGTGTCGGACCCCCCCCCCTCCCCCCCTTCAAAAGGTGGGAGTCCGAACCCCCGACCCCCTCCCCCCTCAAGGGGGGGGGGTCCCGACTCCTCCCTCCCCCTCCCTTGAAGGGGGGGGGGGCGGTCCGGACCCCTCCCCCCCCCTCCCCCCCTTGGCGCTGGAAAGGGGGGGGGGTCCGACCCCTCCCTTCCCCTCCCCCCCTTTCCGCCGGAAAGGGAGCCGGGGAGGGGAGGCCTCTCTCGCTTCTCCTTTCTGCGCCGGAGAAGGTGTGTAGGGAGTACGAAGTCGGCAGTAGGGAGTGGTGAGTAGTGAGAAGTGAGTTAGTTTGTAGTGAGTAGTGACTAGTGGGTAGTTAGTGAGTAGTGGGTAGTGAGTGGCGAGTAGGGAGTAGGGAGTAGGGAGTGGGGAGTAGTGAGCAGCGAATAGTGAGTAGTGTGTATTGATAAGTGAGTAGTGAGTGGCGAGTAGTGAGTAGTGATTAGAGAGTAGCGAGTAGTGAGTAGTGAGTACTTAGTAGTGAGTAGGGAGTAATGAGTAGTGGGTAGTGAGTAGTGGGTAGTGAGCAGTGTGTGGCGAGTAGTAATTACTGAGTAGTGAGTAGTGGATAGTGCGTACTGCGTAGTGAGTAGTGAGTAGAGAGTAGCGAGTAGCGGGTAGTGAGTACTGAGTAGGGGGTAGGGAGTAATGAGTAGTGGGTAGTGAGTAGTGGGTAGCGAGTAGTGGGTGGCGAGTAGTGATTACTGAGTAGGCAGTAGTGGATAGTGCGTACTGCGTAGTGAGTAATGACTAGTGACTAGCGACTAGTGAGTAGTGAGTAGTGAGTAGTAAGTAGTGAGTAGTGAGTAGCGAGCAGTGAGTAGTGAGTAGTGAGGAGTGAGTAGTGAGTACTGAGTAGTACGTAATGCGTAGTGAGTAGTGAGTAGTGATGAATAGAGAGTAGTGGGTAGTGGCAGTGAGTAGTGAGTAGCGAGTAGGGAGTAGCGAGTAGTGAGTAGTGAGGAGCGAGTCGGGCGTAGTGAGTAGTGAGTAGCGAGTTGAGAGTAGTCCGTAGTGCGTAGTGGGTAGTGCTTAGTGAGTCACGAGTAGGGAGTAGCGAATAGTGAGTAGTCAGTAGGGAGTAGTGAGCAGTGAGCAGTGAGCAGTGAGTATTGCGAAGTGGGTAGCGAATAGTGGGTGGTGAGTAGCGATTAGTGGGTAATGGGTAGTGAGTAGTGACTAGTGAGTAGTGACTAGTGACTAGAGACTATGTAGTGACTAGTGAGTAGTGAGTAGCGGGGAGTGAGTAGGGAGCAGGGAGTAGCGAGTATGGGAGTAGCGAGTAGTGCGTACTCCGTACTGTGTAGTCAGTATCGTGTATGGAGTAGGGAATAGCGAGTAGCGAGTAGTGGGTAGTCAGTAGTGATTTGTGGGCAATGAGTAGTGAGTAGTGGACAGTGGGTAGTGGACATCCTGAGTGATTAGTGAGTAACGAGTAGGGAGTAGTCAGTAGTGCTTAGGGAGTAGTGAGTACTGAGTAGTGGGTAGTGAGGAGTGCGTAGTGAGTAGTGAGTAGGGAGGAGGGAGTAGTGAGTAGGGAGTAGTGAGTAGCGAGTAGTGGGTGTTGGAAGTGAGTAGTGGATAATAAGTAGTGAGCCGTGAGTAGTGAGTAGGGGGTAGTAAGAAGTGAGTAGCGAATAGCGAGTAGTCAGTAGCGGGTAGTGAGGAATGAGTAGAGAGTGTTCCTTTGGGGCTGGGGCTAGTGGTTGGGGTTAGGATTAGGGGGTTTGGGTTAGGGTGAGGACTAGGGGTAGGGGTGGCGGGGGTCGGGTTCCAGAGTCAGGGGTCGGCGTGGCGAAAGGGGGAAAAGGGGGGGGGGGGCGGCCAAAGGGGGGGAGGTGGGGGGGTCGGACCCCCTCCCTTTTGAAAGAGGGGGGGAGGGGCGGGGTCCCCGACGACGGATCGGGGAAAGGGGGGGAGGGGGGGGGTCCCCGACGACGGATCGGGGAAGGTGGGGAGGGGGGGCTCCCCGACGACGGATCGGGGAAGGGGGGGCGGGTCCCCCCCCCCGCCCTTGGGGAGATCCAGCGGCGCACTCTCGATGATGATGATGATGACGAAGGTGATGGTGATGGTGATCGTGATGGGAGTGGCCGTGATGGTGGTGATGATGATGATGCTGACGACGGCGATGTTAGTGATGATGGTGGTGGTGATGATGATGGTGATGACGATGACGATGACGCTCATGAGGACGTGCGCGACGAGGATGAGGATGATCATGGTGAGACGATGATCGTGGTGATGGTGATGATGGTGACAATAACGATGATGGTCCATAATGGCGACGACGTCGATGCTGATTATGATATTGATGCTGATGGTGATGATGATGCTGCTGCTGCTGATGATGATGCTGTTGACGATGGTGATGGTGCTTGTGGTGGTGATGAAGATGATGATGCTGCTGATGATGATTATGGTGGTGCCAACGCTGATGCTGATGGTGATGGTGATGGTGGTGGCGATAACGATCGTGCTGGTGTTGGTGTTGGTGATGGTGATGGTGATGGTGATGATGGTGTCAACGACGAGGCCGACGATGACGCCAACGATACTGAGTATGCGGACGAGGATGACCGGCTTGCTAATGTTGAAGTTGAGGGTGAGGATGAGAACGAGGATGGTGATGGTTATGGTGGTGATGATGCTGATGACGTTGGTGATGATGACGACTATGCTGATTCTGTGGATGATGGTGTCGATGGTGACAGTGATGACGGTGACGACAATGATGATGACGATGACGATGACATTGGGCATGATGATGGTGATGTTGATGATAATGATGTTGGTGTTGATGCTGGCGCTGATGCTGATGCTGATGCTGATGCTGGTGAGGAGGATTATCATGAGGATGATCTTCAGGATGACGATGCTGAAGATGATCATCATTACCACCACCACCATCATCTTCCTCAGCATCATCATCGTCATCAGCATCATCAACAACAACAGCAACATCGTCCTCATCGCCATCGTCCTCATCATCATCATCATCATCATCATCATCATCATCATCATCATCATCTTCATCATCTTCATCATCATCAACATCATCATCACTATCATCATCATCATTATCAACATCATCATCATGTTCATTATTATTATCATTATCATTCGCATCATCATGCAACTCGTTTCGGCCGTTTTGGGGCTGTCTTGGCTTCCTGTGAGGCAGTCTTCGGGTTCCCTGGGGCCCTCTTGGGCCACCTTTGGGTCCTATAACGCGGGTTTGTCTTGGCCGTATGGTGGGTGTCTGGCGGCCGTCTTGGGGCCGTTTTGGCGCCGTATTTGCCGTCGCATGGCCTTCTAGGCCATTTTGGGTCCACGGGAGGTCCTCTTGGGCCGTTTGGGGGCCGTCTTGAATGCATATTGGGCCATCGTGGGGTCATCTCGGGCCGTCTTGAGTTGACGTTAACCCAGAATGGCGAGAATGCGAACATCAGCCAAAAACCGGAGAGAAATCAATGATTTTCATTTTTGTCTGACGCTGTTGGAGGTCTTCGTGTAGCCATTTCGGGCCCTCTTGGAAGCATCGTGGGCCATTTTGAAACAAGATTTGGCCGTCTTGGGGCCATCTGGGGCCGTTTTCGAGGCATCTTGGGCCATCTGAGTGTCCTTGGTTGCTTGCGCTGCCGTCTTGGAAGCTCGGGGCGCGTATCCATTGTTATTAACCAGGGATCGTGGCTTGGTAGCCCCTGGAGCGCTTGGGAGCAGGGCCTGATAATATGTGTCGATCCTCGAATGGATGCGCGTGGGACGGGAGGGAGGTAGCAGCGTTGCGGGAAATGCGCAATCCTCGAGTGGGCGCGCATGGAGTAACAGTTCAGGCATGCGCTGTCATGCGGGAAGTGCACCATCCTCGAGCTGGCACGCGTGGAAGGGGGGGTCAGGCAGTAGCTGCCACGTGGGAAGTGCACCATCTTCGAGCGGGGACGCGGAATGGGGGATGATGCAGTGGCGGCTGCCATGCTGGAAGTGCACCAGCCTCGAGCGGGCACGACGGAAGTGGCCTCGGTGAGCGCAGGGGGGAGGAGCGCGACCGTCCGCGGGTAGAGTTGGAAGGTTCAGGGCTCGCTAGGGTGAAGTCGGGCACGTCCCTCTGCAGGAGGTATATTCAAAATTAGTGAAAAATAGTGTGGGGAGTATTTTCTATTATTTGATTGATTGATTGATTGATTGATTGATTGATTGATTGACTATTTAAAAATATGGTTGACAATGTTAAAGTTTTGGCCCGCAATCCGCATGTAGGGGGACGTGCCCGACCTAACGCTAGGGACTGGTTTCTTGTCAGCACAG